AATGTAAAGCCTGTACAAATATTAGAAATCGTGAATATAAATAATTGGGAACCATGTAAAAAATTTAAATAAAATAAAAACTGCTCTTTTTAAAAAGTGCACATTTCATTTATCTATTATAACATTTATGTAGTTTTGTTCGCTTGGCTGTTTCCTTATAAAAGTAAAACAGTTTGTCAAGTTTTTCGTCAGGTGACTTTATTAATTATATGATGTCATTACGTTGCTGTCTTGCCGCCAGCGAATTGCTGCTTTGCTGGTCGTGGTTTCGAGTATCGATTCATAGCCCCTTTTAAACCAACCCATGAACGCGCAATTTTCTCAGATAACTCAATCCAGCCATTCTAATCATCAACAACAGCTGCGTTCGAAGAACCCAATTAGCCAGATCCTGATTAGCGCGATGATATCATCTTGGATGTGACGTTTCATCTCGGAATTTATTGACATAGTCAACACTGTTTTTCTATGATCTCCTTCCAGCTTAGAGGCTCATAAGTTCAACAGAACTACACCCCAACCTATATGGTACTTTCTTTTTTAGTTAGTTTCCAAGGTAATATTTCTAAAATTAAAAGTATTAGTTTTTAGAGGTTTAAAAAAAAAAAAAAAACTATCTGCACAGATTAAAAAAACTAATAAAACTGACAAAAACACGCAACAAAATTATATAATATTATATAATATATAATATATTATATTATATAATAATACTATATAATAGTTTGGACCGCTTTATTTAGCATTTTTAGGTTTACTTTTAACACTTTGAGTTTATTTGAATGTGGTTAAACGTGCCACACTGGTATTGATCATTAAAGCATCGTCATATTAAAGCTGACGTGTGTCATTTCTGCAGTGCTGGTTGCATCAAACAGATTTGCTTTCAGACATGTTTGAGATGAAGGTTAAGCACAGTATTTGATAAGTGAGCACATGCAGGGCTGTGTGTGTGTACTTCAGTCTCGTTCCTGAGAGTTTCACTGGTCACCCGTCGATGACGAGCTCTCATCAAGACTGATTTCAGTCCACTTTCACCCGTGATGCCCGCTTTAGGAAACCCGATATGTGTCTGCTTCGTTCTGTTTGCTGGCAGTGTCCTGTCGCTCGTCTCCTGATGCACTGCAGTTCAGACGCTCGCACCGTTAGGAAGCTGCAGCTCGAGTGAGTCTCATCACACCTGCTTACTGTACTTAAAGCAGCACGGACTAAAGGATCATCAAATTCAGTTTATAATAATCACTTTAAAATTTAACATTTATTATTATTATTATTATTATTTATTATTTGCAATTTAAATAATTAATCTTTCCATATTACCAATAAATGTGTTTATTGTTATTTATTATTATTATTATTAGCTATTTGAATAATTCATTATTCTTCCCACATTAATAATAGGTTTATTATTATTATTATTGTTATTATTATTATTATTATCAAATAATTTGTTTTTATTTGATATGAAGAAGCTTATATTATTTTTATTATTATTTGCCATTAAAATATTTTTTTATTTTCCCATATTAACAATAAATATATTATTATTATTATTATTATTATTTGCAATTTAAATAATAATTTTTTTTCATATTAATACATTTATTATTATTATTATTCAATACCTCTTTTCAGTGATATGAAGAAACTGATGTTATTTTTTATTATTAGTTGCCATTAAAATAATGCGTTATTTTCCCATATTAACAATAAATAAATATATTATTATTATTGTTGTTGTTATTTTTATTATTATTTGCCATTAAAATAAATAATTATTTTCCCATATTAACAATAAATACATTATTATTATTATTATTATTATTATTATTATTATTTGTCTCTAGATGAGCTTATTTGAGGTGTTTGCATTTGATTTTCAGTTCAGTTTGACCTCAGACAGTCAGGATTTTCACATTTGATTGGAAAAAGAAACATGGGTGTTGTTTGTCTTTGCTGAAATCACAATGCTGCAGTTGTTTCTAAGGCTCTTGGATGTAGTTTGTAGTGCATTACTATGTGGTTGCCAGATGTTTGTTTATTGTATATATTTATTCATTTTTGTGATTTATTAATTTATTTATTTGCATCTTTTATTTATTTTATATCTTTATACATTTCTTTTTTTTGTTCATTTATTTTATTTATTTTGTATTTGTTTAGATTTAAATATGTTTTTTATTTGCTACAATTTTGGAATGGTTTGTGTTTATTTTATGTAATTATTATTATTTTTTTTAATTATAAAATGTTTTGTATTTTGTTTTATTTGCTGAGGATTTTGGAGTGGTTTGTAGTCTATTGACGTGTTTTCTAGAGTGTTTTAGGTGATTTCTATTTATTTATTTATTTATTATAACAATTTATAAATCTTGTATTTTTTATTTTTTATTTAAATATTTATTTAATTTAATTTAATTTTGGTTATTTTTTATTATTTATTTATTACTTTTTTCTTCTATTTTTGCAAAGCATGTACATAGTTTACGAGGTACATAATATTTTGTTTTTTTACAAAATATTATTTCATTACACAAGAAGAAAAAAGGAACAAAAACAACAACAAAAAAACAATTAAATAAAATTAATTAATTAAAAAACATTCATTCATTCATTCGTTCATTTAATTGCTTGCTAGGGTTTTTGGAGTTCTGTGTAGTGCATTACCGTGTGGTTGCTAGGGTGTTTTGGCTGGTTGCTAGGTGTCTGGTATGAAGAGAGTCCCTCCTGATTGGTCGGCCGTCTTTGTTCCTCTGCTGATCTCAGGTCTGTGCGATGGCTCTCCTGAGAGCAGTGAAAGCAGAGCATCAGATCATCTGCTGCCAAACTGAAGGAAGATCTGCGTGATTTACAGTCAAGCAGCTCTAAAACAGTCACTTTCTCTGCGCATGTGACCTCACGTTCAATACAGAGGCCATTTGGAAACAGGAAGCTCGTAATAAAGGTCAAAGATCATTAAAGCACTTACTGAAGTACGTTTTTTACTTCCCATCGCGTCTTAGTGATGGTTCAGGGGGAATAACATGATGGATATTGAGGCTTTATGGAGCTTTTGCACACACATCAACACTTCTGACTTTATTGAAGCGTAATAAGCGGAAAGCTGCCTGTAAATGTAGGGCTGCACGATTAATCGAATGCGATAGTCATGTGCATCTTGTCAGTAAAGCCGGTTCTGTGAACAGTAGTAAATCTCCATCGTGTGCTTTCAGATGGAGCAGCATTTACTACACAGAGTCATAGTTAACTGACAAGCGACGCAAAAAAAAAAATAGCGGACGATATAATCGCGCGATTATGAAATCGAAGAAATCGTTCTGCGATTATGAAAGCCGTTTGCGTAGCTTGTCAGTGAACTACGGCTCTGTGTAGTAAATGCTACTCCATCTGAAAGCATGTGAAAATACCACATTTAATAACATATTTTTACTCCAAAAATCTTTCTGTGAGATGATGTGGCTTCTTGCACAGAGAAGCCACAATTATATAATATAATTATTAATTATAATAAGACGAACTCAGATAAACCATATATTGTCGTAGTCGTGTGTTTATTAGTCACGTTGAATGAATGAAAGCAGTTAAATCTTCAGTTTATTCAGCAGCAGCAATGATTTCTTCTGCGGGGCGTATTTGGAGTTTCTCTGGCCTTCGAATGGAGATTTACTACTGATCACAGAACCGTGCTTCACTGAGAAGATGCTTGCATGAATATTGCAGCTTCTGCCTAATCACGATTGTGATTTATCGTGCAGCCCTATGTAAGTGTGTGATTTATGGATGGAGATGGGATGAACGTCTCTCTGTGTGTTTGCAGGTGGAGTGGCTGAAGAACGAGGAGATCATCGACCCCGCCGACGACAGGAACTTCTACATCACCATCGACCACAACCTGATCATCAAACAGGCCCGTCTGTCCGACACCGCCAACTACACCTGCGTCGCCAAGAACATCGTGGCCAAACGCCGCAGCACGACGGCCACCGTCATCGTCTACGGTCAGTCTCAGTGTTTATCTGTGTTTGAACCACAAGTACATGAGATTATTTAACGTGTTTGATTTAAGTATCAAGTATCAAGTAAGTATTTGATTTTCAGTTCAGTTTGATCTCAGACAGTCAGTATGTTCACTCTTGATCGGAAAAAGTAGACTTCAGTGTTTTATAAAGAAAATGTGGGTCTTTTTCATTAATTTTAATTGTAATATTTATTTATTTTATTTTAATTTATTTATATTTATTTTAATTTTATTTTATTTTGCTAAGGTTTTTGGAGTGGTTTGTTGTGCATTGCCCTGTGGTTGCAAGGTTTTTATTTAGTCATTTTAATTGTATTATTTATTTTATTTAATTTTAATTAATTAATAAATGTATTATTTATTTATATTTTATTTTGCTAAGGTTTTTGGAGTGATTTGTAGTGCATTGCTATGTGGTTGCAAAGTTTTCATTTATTTAGTCATTTTAATTGTATTATTTATTTATTACATTTTATTGATTAATTTATTATTTTTATATTTTTTAGAGTGGTTTGTAGTGTATTGTTATGTGGTTGTTTTATTTATTTATAAGGTGGTTTTAGGTGTTTGCTGGGTGTTTATTTATTTATTTATTTTGTGTTTGGTTGTTTTATTTTTATTTATTTGTGTTTGTTTAATTGTGTTTTTTTTATTTGCTAAGGTTTTTGGAGTGGTTTATAGTCCATTGCTATGTGTCATCTAGTTTCAAGTGGTTGCTAGTTGTTTATTTATTATTTGTATTTTTTAATTTATATTTATTTATTGTTGTTTTTTTAAAGGGGGTTTTGAGTTATTTCAGGTAATTTATTTATTTATTTATTGTTTTTACATATATTTATTTTTATGTTTTTTTTTTTATTCTTTTATTTATTTTTATTTATTTATTGGGTGTTTTAGGTGGTTGCTAGGTATTTGTTTGTTTGTTTATTTATTTTATTTGTTCGTTTGCATTTCATTATTTGCTAAGATTTCGGAGTAGTTTGTAGTGCACTGAAACTGGTTTCAGTGTTTCACCTTGAAATCCTGATCATCTTTCTGTAGCTTTGATAGCACAAAGGCAAAGTCCACGTTTGAAACTGATGCAAAACTTTGACCAGCTGTTCTGGTAGCGTTTCCTTCATCGCGCCGCAGTCCGTCTCCTCTGAAGTTTCTTTTGGTCGGATCTTGCCGTGAAAATCCCTGGAGCTGGAAAATGTTCCTCTTTAGAACAGAAAGCCGCGCTGACAAGTTGGAAGCGTTTTAACCCGCCACCGCTTTGAGTGTTGAAAGAATAACTTGGTGTAAATTTCTCCCCCGAACGCAAATGCAAGGCTTTCACAAGGCTGACAGTTTGTGAAATCGCACCTCGGCACCCGCGGTAAAGCACGGACGAGTCTTTTAGGAGCTCTTCAACAAGTGAAAACAGCCCACCTGCTGCGATCGCTTACTGTTTTCCCCACAGATGCAATCCCAGATCTGGCAAACAGATGTTTGCCTCTCCCGTGCTGTAATAAATTGACTTCTCTTCCTCGTCGTGAGGCTGATGTAATTTTAAGTGCTCTCCGCTCTACCCTGAAAAGTAGTTCGCGTCGTAAGGAAGCTGCAGGCGCTGGTTGAGCTCTGTAATAGGACGGCCCGCTCGAGTGTGAGGGGTCGCCTCTTTAAATGAACAGTTCAGCTAGAAATGAAAACACTTCATAATTTACTCACACTCATAGACAGATGGATAAATGGATTGATGGATAAATGGATGGATGGGTGGGTGGATGGATGGATGGATGGATGAATGAATGAATGAATGGATGGATGGATGGATGGATGGATGGATGGATGGATGGATGGATGGATGGATGGATGGATGGATGGATGGATGGATGGATGGATGGATGGATGGATGGATGGATGGATGGATGGATGGATGGATGGATGGATGGATGGATGGATGGATGGATGGATGGATGGATGGATGGATGGATGGATGGATGGATGGATGGATGGATGGATGGATGGATGGATGGATGGATGGATGGATGGATGGATGGATGGATGGATGGATGGATGGATGGATGGATGGATGGATGGATGGATGGATGGATGGATGGATGGATGGATGGATGAATGAATGAATGGATGGATGGATGGTTGGATGGATGGATGAATGGATAAATGGTTGCATAGATGGATGAATGGATAAATGGTTGGATGTATGGATAGATGGACGGATGGATTGATGGATAAATGGTAGGATAGATGGATGGATGGATAGATAGATGGACAGATGGATGGATGGACGGACGGACGGACGGACGGACGGAC